TCTCTCTCTCTCTCTCTCTCTCTCTCTCTCTCGCGGTTTGGCCGAGATTCGAACTATTTTTGACTAATTTAGCATAGATTTGAAATATTTCGGTTGGAATCTTGGCTAAAGAAATTTAGGACGATTCGTGTCTCAGCTATGCCGATTTTGTTAAAATTTTAATTAAAATTGCTGGATTTCTCTCTTTCTCTCCCGGTTTGGCTGATATTCGAACCATTTTTACTAATTTAGCACAGATTGGAAATATTTTGGTTGGAATCTCGGCTAAAGAAATTTAGAATGGTTCGTATTTCAGCTATGCTGATTTTATTAAAATTATTCAACTATATCTTATATTCAGTTTTATTTATTATGCATTTTTGTTGTTGATGATAAGAGTCAGAATATTAAAAAGCTATAAACTGCCCATGAAACCCAAGTGGGTCAAAATGAAAAAATATGACCTAAATATTTTTTGTACTTCTACATTTGTACCAAATTAGGAAGAAATCGGAGTGTACCATTTGAGTAGATTTACTTGTAAGTATACCAAGTAAAGCTGTGTGCATTCCGTCGTTACTCGTGCGTCATTGTTTAGGAGATTTTCCACAAATCTTCTGAAATTTCCCTGAATTTTCTGAATACTCTGAATGTGAAACTTTCTTCTTCTCATAAAGATCGTGAGGATTGACGCTTCATTTTGTAATTTGCAAAATAGATTTTAACTCAATCTGTACTTCTTCGCTCTCTCAGGCCCGTATTAATAGTCATTACTTAAAATTTGCTCCAATTGAGATATTCAGATCTGGATTCAGAGTTAGGTCAGGGTTTTTCAGCTAAATTTTGATTGCGGATATAAATGTCACATACATCATAATTCAACTGAAAAACTTGTATTTAATCCGGAAAAAAACATTTTTCCGAGATTTATGAGCAAAAAAATGAGCCGGGTAAAATTTACTCACATTCAGGATTCACGCAACTTTTTAGTGTTTAGGAATCTAGAGTTAAAATATGGGCTTTAATTTCTTCGAGTTTTGAGTGAATTCTCGCTCATTTCGAGTGAGATTTCACCCCGAGAGATTTAAAGAGTATTAAAGGCGGCTTATACTTTCGCGTATCAGAGCGCGATTAGTCATCGGCTATCCCACGTGGAGAAGATCACCAGCTGGCGCGCGGCGGTCGGGAAGAAAAATCCGAGGAATGGCGCTCGCCTGGACGGATCGGCTCGCGGGTAAGGAACGTGCGATAAACAGCAGGGGAGCCGCACGGGATTACGCTGAACATCGGTTCGCGAGGAATCGCAGGCTCCACCGATTCCGGTGTCGCTCTCTGTACCGCTCTCTCTCCCGTAACAATAAGAGCGGGTTCACGGGCGACCTCAGAATTCTCGCGTCCCGGGTCGCACCAGTGGCTTTTCTCTCTCTTTCTCTCTCTCTCTCTCTTTCTCTCTCGTGACTCCGCGTACGCTCGCAACACGATGTTGTATTATTCAAATGGACCCGAAAGAGAGAAGCAAAGAATAGCTGCCTCCTTGTAAAAGCGGCCCGATACTATCTCGAGCTACCCCTATCGCGCATGTATATCAAATGCGTCTGTGTATATCGTTCCCTCTCTCTTTATTCTTCTTCTTCTTCCTCTTTTCGATATCTCTCGCTCGATAACTCGTCGAGTGATCGATATCGTAGGCTTCTTACCGAACCAACAGATTCACTGTAATTATTCCTCTCCCATTTTCCCTCCGGCGATTTTAATTATCGTCATATTAGAGATATATTGCGGTGACAAATAAACTAATAATTATTTAAAGTGTAACGTGTATGCTGCAAATCAGATTGTGATTTTATTGTCGACGATTGCTAACCGACAATTATTTATGAACAGTTTAATAGCCGTCATAATAAATATTATATTGTGCAATAAATTAATTATTGCAATGCATTCACCGCGGATTATGGCGAGCGTGGTTGGCACTTGTTGCGAGTTGCCAGGCTACGCCGACAGACGTGGCGGTGTTACCGTTGGAAATAGTGAGCTTTCTTTGAGCGCGTCGGTAATATCGAACGGTCCTTCCTCTTTCGGAAAGAGAAAAAGAGAGAAAGAGAGAGAAAAAGAGAAATCGCAAGAAAGAGGCAATGGTATCGCCGATATCGAACCCCGTCTCTGGATCGGAGAGGACGCGAGTGATCCGTGAGGCGCGGATATTATCGGCGCAATTTCTGCGTCATTGGGCACCGGTAGGCCTTCGCGCAACACTGCCATCTTATTACTCGCAGCCGTGCGAAATTATAGATCCTCAAACGGAGCGGCGGCCGATTACACCGTCCGCGTTGGGCGTAGGTATGCCACGTACGTGGATAACGGTAACGCCGCGCCGATCGCCTTGTCAGCTGACCTTACGGACATATCGCGAGATATACGCGCACGTGAGCGCGTGCGGTACGGTGGAGGATTGGTGGTGCTGTTGGTGGTGTTGGTGTTAGCGATGGTGATGGTAGTGGCCCCTGCTGCCATCCGCGATCCTCTACCACCACCACGCCCAGACAGAGCAGAAAGGAGCACACAGCGCTGTGCTCTCCACCAGCGTGTCCGACACCGTGCCGGCACCACGCCGAGATAAACGTCGAGATAGCGTAGGTCAACATCGCGGGCGACTGCGCACGTAGAATTTTTCGCGCTCGAGCTAGGAGCACACATCTGGGATCTGTCAAAGGCGAGCGGAGTATACGGTAAATCGGACGAGTCCCCTCCTCCTATCCGCAAGTGATTCTTCGAGAATAACGTGTCTTGATCATTGACTTTTAACAGAAATACTTATTGACGCGTTATTCACTACACTGAAAGAAATTCGATAAAAAGTTAACAAACGGATATTTCCGAGTAAAATACCGATGAATTTTTATATTCGATTAAATTTAATCGAGTACTTCCGATTATAACGGGATTTTATCGGATAAATCGATCAAAAAATTATAAACCGATATTTCTCATCGGATGGATCGGATACAAAAATTCGTCGATATTTTGGTCGGAAATATCTGTTTGTTAATTAATTAATCCATCGCGAATGAATGTTTCTCTTGTTTATTATTTAGATATTTTTTCTCTTGGTATATAGAAAAAAGTTATTTGCACGATGCAGGCAGCGAAGGAGTGTTACGGATGTAGATATCGGTGAAAGAGCCCAGTCGGAAGCGAAAGTCAAATAAGGCAAGTTACTGTAAAACTGCATCGCGTATTTTGTCGGCTACTCGAGAGAGAGAGATGGCATTATCCTGGAGCACATGACGAATGAGTTTCCACAAAATAACGACAAATCACAAGATAATAACGCGCGCGTTGCAAAGTCACGGCGATAACTGTCCGAAATTGTTCAGAGCCGCTCGTAAAGCGCGACGGAATTCGCGTGAGATAGCGGGACATCGTGCGCTATTAACGCGAACGTTATCAGTGACACGTCTTGAAGCGAGTCAGCTTTCACGCGTCCAATTAAGTCAATTAAGCGCGCGACTAATTCGCATCGCGAGATTCGCCACGATAACGTCGAATCGTTTCTTCATCGCGTCGCGAGTTAACATAAACCGACGGTTCGCGATCCGCGCAAAAAGCACGTGACGTGCTTTTATCGGCAATGCGTCGCGTACGCACGTGTGCAGTCGGCCCGAGTTCTCTCGGCTCGTGCACCACGCCTTCGCCGAGGAACGGCACACGATTCTACGTTCCTATACCGGTATCGAGATAGTATCGACCGGCATGGATCGCGCTCAGGCCGTCTAGGAGTCCGGCTTTAATAGCCTGCAGCCACGGCAATCGGCCAGAAATCGCTCGTATCTCAGCTCGTTGTGTTTTCGCACTCGCTCGCTCGCTTGCTCGGCACACACGTGCACTTACGTGTGTGTGTGTGTGTGTGTGGAACATGCGCGTGTATCTCGCACTCGGCGTACTAGCAGCGCGCGCGAGCGCAAACGTTTCCTGGAGCAAAGTTTCCAGGTCACCGGGAAAAGACCAATCGGAAGCAGATACCTTTCTCGCCGTTCTCGCGTCCTTTTTATCATCGTTTTGCGTCACCGTGCCGGGTGATACCGATAGTCCGTGCACCGTTCAGCGACAGCCCGTCGATCGGTATAAGGGAGTGAAATTCGCACGAACGTGGACGCGCTCTTCGTTCCGCATGTATAATCGCAGTTTCTGGCGATTCATAATCTCTGCCCGTTGCATTGTAGATCAGAACGCGGTTAATTGTAAATTGTTATCGAGCCGTTCGCGCGTGTCGTGAATCTCCATTTGAGGGATTTGTAGTCGCTCCAGCTCTCCGATAGTCGTTTTCGCCGCGCCGTTGACTGCTGCATACTTTTATGTGCATTGAACTCTGATAAAGCCGTAACGCGTTCACCAGTCACCGAGGCTCGCACTGGTCCTGCTTATCCTTCTCCTATCTTGTCTGGGTAAAATACGATACGATATGATATATCGAGGACTGTCCAGATGACAGATGGATCAAATAATCAACAGCCATAATGCAAAACGCGCATCTCCAAGCGCGATGTTGACGATTAAAAGACTAATAAGTTTTAGTTTAATGAATGCTGAAGGTTTCATTGAAGCTCGGAGCACAGTTCACGATCGTCTTGCAGCAGAATCGCTCGCAGTTCTGTCTGACTTCGTGAATGTTCCGGGGCGAAAGTCTAGGGTCGTGTGTCGCGTCTCGCGTGACACGGCACAAACGGGCGTCGCCGGAATCATTGACGGCCTCGTCGTAATTTGTTCCCGCGAAGTGGCGGGACACCCCACGATACGCCGAAATGTAATCTATCCCGATCCCTAATTCCCGTCGGGCGAGTCATTCATCCTTAATCGGTTAACAACGATCTCCTCGCGGCTCCGACAACGGTCGATCACTCGGTCCGATCTCGGATCTCGGTGTATCGTATAATTAGAACGGCGAGCGGCCCGCGATTTCTAGCCGGCCTTTCTGTCGAAAAGCCCTCGCTAAAGTCGCTCCTCTTCCCCTTGTGTTTCAGCAAAAGGTGAAGTTCTGGTTCGCCACGGGCGGCGCCGGATTCTGCATCAGCCGGGCCTTGGCGCTCAAGATGACTCCGGTTGCCGGGTGAGTTTTTACCCTTCCATTGTATATTTCTTCACAATGTATTATTCGCGAATAATAACGATATAACACGGCTACACTGAAAAAAATTATTCGATAAAAAATTAACAAACGGATATTTCCAATCAAAATACCGATGAATTTTTATATCCGATCAGGATATCAGGATTAAATTTAATCGAATACTTCCGATCATAATGACATTTCATCAGATAAACTGATCAAAAAATCATGAATCGATATTTCTCATCGGATGTTTCCTGGTCGGATATAAAAATCCATTGTTATTTTGATCACAAAAATCCGCCAAACGCAAAGAAATTCGGACTTGGATCTTTATTTCTGGAGTAATATATATATTGCATATTAATATCAATTATAATATTTATAATAATTAGTGCATGTGATAATAACATTCAATGTGATAATAACAAATAGAAAATAATAATGATCATTTTCATTATTAATAAAATTAACTTATCAATAATGATACTCATATATAATTACTAAATTGTTAATTAAGTTAATTGTTAAAATTAAGAATAATTGTTATTATGGTAACAATTGCTACTTATTAATTTTGATATGTACACGGATCATAAATTTGCTATATTATTGCTTGGCATTAATTATTCAAACGAAGCCGATATCGAGTCTCGGCGTGTTAACTTGAAAGCGAAATCGCTGCAAGATCACCGACTCGTCGAGTCGGTTCTCCCCATTTCCTCGCTTTTCTTTGCGACGGCGAACCGCCCTCACAGAATAGAAATCTCCATAGAATGCGGTCGGTCACGCGTGACGCATGTGACACGCGCTGCCACGGCGCGCCGCGGTGGTCCTTTCAGGGTTTAATCTAACGTGAAAATGCGTATTAACGATCGCGTATCCTCTCGGGATACCTGCACGTCTCTTTTTTTCCGCCGCGTCTCTACCTGCGGAGGATTAAACAGCGCTGCCCACGGCCTTGCCCAGTCACGCTCGCGCCGACCGATCGGTGCTATCTGTTACACGCAGGCCGATTCAGTGATTACGCTTGGTAATTACGCGTGGGGCTTCTGCTCTCTCCCGCCTTTCCCCTCCCTCATCCGTATGAAAGTCGTTGTTACTGGGTCGCGCGCGAGCAGCAACGCGCTGGAGCGTGGAAACGCGACGGTAATAAAAAATTGTGGGTCGTTGCGATGATCGTAACGATGGACAATTACACCGGCCATTATCGACGTCGCTCTCGATAAACGCGCCTCGATAGGCACGCTGGTTACCACGTATGACGGTTCATATACCGCACTCGCGCGCGATCATTTCGCGATGATCGCCGATGGAAGGTCGAAAGCGTTCGCGCGCGCGCCTTCGCGCTGCTCGTAAATCACCGTTTATGGCGCACAGTGGCCGATTGTTTATCCTCGGTCCTCGATAACGTCACCGTCAACCGGCACGAACCGCCGCTCTGACTGGTCATTTGTTGTTATTAACGATGTAAAAATGTACGCCAGGCTCGGCCATGCGGCACGATCCAGTTTTTCGCGACGTGGGGACGTCACGACTCTATCGTCGTAAATCCCGCGCTCAAATCCCGCGGGTTGACTCGCTTCGTAAAACCTCCTCCTGGCCGTTCGATCTCTGTTCAGCGATTCGATCGATTTACATCGGAATCTCACGGTCCTCCTCCTCTGCCTCTCCTCTTCCAAAAAGTAAAACGACTCCTCGAGTTTGGACGCGGATCTCTGCTCGTTTCAAGATTTCATATTTAATTTTCACTAATTTTATATTCTGTCAGAAATTTCCTGTTCTCATCGTTATCGATTTTGTCCTAAGAGCTCCATTCTGAGGAATTGAGAAATGCGCGCTGCGAAAAGATGTTTGATATTTGTAATTATAATCACGTTTCCTAAATTTCTTGAAAGCTTTTTGAAAAGCAGTAGTATTTTCACTCGAGCTCTTTTGAAAAGTGGAAGTATCTTCACTCAAAGCGATAGTGCCATTTGGAACTACACAAGAGTGAATATTTCACTCTGGATTAGAATGAATTCTGATTCCGTATAGACGAACGTTTCAATCGATTGAAGTGAATGTGTTCCTTTGACGATGGAATACACCAGATTCACTCTTCAGTTTCGAATGAAAATATTCACTGAACGACGCAGAGTGAAAAATTCACTCTGTAGGAGTGAAAAATAAATCGAATTTGAGTGATTCGTCTGTTACTCTACTTTTCTAACGAAATCTTACTCCAAACGGACTTATAAGGAGCATAGAAAAATAATTACTATAAATTATGGTCAGGAAAAGCATTTTTATTAAGTCCTACTATAATATTAGTGCGATAATAATCTTACACGCGTGTTACTACTGCCACTTTTGTTGAAACCACCATAAAATATGCCTCAAATTGGTTAAAAATAACTATAATTTATTTAACTATAATTAGTTAAATCAATCATTTTTTTCTATCAGTGTCTTCACTCTCTTTTTCGCCCTCTCTCGCTTCCTTCCCCCTAGCCTCGTCCTCGACCTCCTTATACGGATTCGGAGACAGAACGATCGAGGTTGGCAAAAAGCCCGGTACCTGGGAGGGCCCGCGAATCGGTCGTATCTCGATGTCCCCTCGTAGTCTCTTCCGCTCTGCCCTCTTCCGTCCATTTCGCGGTGTACACGGTCCCGGCATTATCCTGCCTCTCGTACGCTCGTTCGTTTCGTGTAGCGACACGAGACACGGCTACATGGCGTAAGAACGAGGCGAGTGCATCGAACAGCTTTCTCATTCGGACAACCGGCGAACGACGACGACAAAGACGACGATGACTCGCTTTATTATTTCACCGGACGTAATCCGGCGGCATCATCACAGTTCATCGGCGTTACAAATCGTTGCGATTTATTGCGACAAACATTGCTCGCGACGACGACAACGACGAGCGTTTCGTAATTTACCCTTATTCCCGCCGGCGTTTCTTCCTCGCGCGGCTAGAATCAAAAGGAGAATCGCGATATTTTTCCATCGCGCTTTCCTTTTCATGCCAAATGCTCGTGGTGGCGCAGCTCGCGAAAACGATAAAGTTCCATCGCCAGCGGCGCGCGAATTATCCCGCGGAATTCTCATGCATTTTTCCGCGCGCGAGCGCGCGCTTTCACGTTATGTCTCTCGCGCGTCGCGAGGTATAAAGTTGGGCGAATTTAACGGCCGTCGCGCAGGCGTTGCTGCGGATGCGGAAGCTCCCTTCGTGCCACGGCGAGGCGCGTCGCGTTACTTTGATATTATTTCAGACCACGTCAGGGAGCGATTCCGCGACGCGACAGTAAGTACGCACCTAGCTAATCCCACTTGTCTTCCTGCCTGGTAGGTGAGAAAGAGAGAGAGGGAGGCAGAAAGAGAACGCGCGCTTTAATTTATTCCGAGATTTGCGCCGTGCTTTTTCCCGCGCTTAAGGGAGTCACGGATATCACCGCGCAGCTACTTTTCATTTCGCGCGCGAGAACATTCCTTCTCCATCGCCGACGGCTATTCGCGATTTTATTTCGTCGGGCGAACATACCAAAGAGGAAAATTCGCCTCTTGGCTGCTGATGTTCTTCCGTCTTTTTGCCATCCAGCTAAGAATGCATGATGCAATTGTCTTCGCATTTCCATCTTCTTTCGTTTTTATTGCCTCGAGTCGGGCGTTCGCCTCTGACAGGTGTGCGTTGACTGCCGCGTGATTGTACAGAAACTGATGATTGAATTAGATACGGTGAACACGCGTAAATCGAGACGCACGAATCTTTCATTTCGTCATTGGCTACTAGCTGAAACTACCCGGCGTTGCCCGGGTTATCACAATGTGTCAAAGGGATGAAATCGGAGGGAGGATAGAGCGTGATAGGTTTCATATTTTCCGCTGACAATAAACACTATCGACATGACCACAGCGATTTTTATTCGCACCTCTTCTGTTTCCTCCAGTTTTTTTTTTATGAGAAAAACTGGTGATATTTATTTTTCTATATAGGCCTTAATTTGCCCATCAAAGGGCATCAAAGTTAGAAAAAACATTTCCTTATAACCTATATTGAGCAATAGCTCAATATACGAAGAATCTCATTGGATAAATTCAGAATATACATATTTTTATATATTTGCGGTCGATAGAGAGTTCATACACACACACACACACACACACACACACACACACACACACACACACACACACACACACACACACGAGATAGAGGGTGTCAATTCCTTTCGATTTACTTAAACTATTGTATATCTTGTTTACTCTTCACAGCAAATATAAATTTTGCATATTATTTTTCAAAGTCCTTCTCAAAGGAAATAGCAAAATAAAAAGGAAACCGCTAGGGGACGAAGAAGGGGGGGATTGAGCAGTCATTTTGAGTCATCACTGAGGAGGTTTTAATTGTATTTTCTGCAAGTGCAATTAATTGTAACTCACGATACTCAACGTGTTAAATTCCGAGCATAACAGTGAATCAACTTGCGCGATGGAAAATCGCTTTTCTTACGTGTATTGCTCGCGTCCGTGCCTCGTTAATGCGCCATAATTCGTGTTGGTTTTCTCCCTCTCGCTTCTGAAAGTATTTATCTTGCCACGGAAGTTGCCTTCTATTTTATGAGTCGTTGAACTGTGGAGAGGCAACGCTACCATTCCCGCGGGGAAATCGGGTCTTTTAATCATTCGACTCATCTACTTTGTCTTTTACTCGCTCCGTTGGATAGTTGGATGTTTTTCGGAGATTGGTCTGTGCGCGCTTCTGCGCTTGGATGAGATACTGTTCCTTGCGCAACCTATTATCGTGGTTAGTCGAGCAGCATGTTCTCCGATTTCAACAGGTTCTCACGTTCCCTTCGTAAGATCCACTCGAGCTCCCAGTTGACGTTCCGCTCGTTGCTTGCGCGAATTGTCATACGCTCATATCCGCTCCGTTAACCTCGACGTTGTCGTTTCGCTCGCACCGATACCGTGACAAGAGACGCCCGCGAAACCGTGGATATTGCAGTCCGCGATA